GGCTTGGCGCTCGGGCCGGGGTCCTCTCGGTTCGACTTAACCAATATAAAATGACTCGATTTGATCGCAAGACGTCTGAAAAAGAAATTAAAATAAATCAACCAGATATATATATTTCACACATTAATATATATACAATTATTAATCGAACAATATTTTCACATAGGCAATTAATTCAAATAATAATAATAATAATGCCAATAAAATATTGTTGGAAAATACAATAAACGAACGGGGCTTCACATTCTACCCTCCCTAAAGAAAATTTTGTCCTCGGAATTTGGAAAAATGAACTACGACATTATCCAATCGAGAATAAAAGGGCATACACTAAAATATGAAATTTGGGTGCTACCTCCGAATCTTAGTCTTCCTCTCCCAAGTCGCTTTGCCCTCGCCTTGACAACCTCCACTGGAATTTGACGAGTAACCCTCCCGACCTTTCCCTGATGGATACTCCGTTCCAATAGGTCGCCGATACCTCCTTACAGGTAGGATTCTGCACATCACGCAGCTCGTCACAGTTCACATGTACCCCGAGATCACGCACACGTTTCCTCCATAATGAGGCATAGAACGTGTCATGATTCCTCGCAAGCTCCACTGGTGGAGTCAACCTTCAGGCTAAGTCACCAACTTGGTCGAGAATCATAGCTGGACTAAATAAGCGTGGTCGTAGCCTTGTTCTTTTCGGTAATAAGGCACATGACACCTCTGTCCGTACTAACACTTAGAACGGTACCATCAGGATCCTTACTTGATCATCATCATTACAAGCATGCTTACCCATGGTAAGGAAATCCCTACATAATACTCGACTATCAATACACAAGACCCTAATTGTTTTATCGTGTCTTTATAGTATACTTCGACTGTCTAACAAAAAAGGGTCGGTCTCACAAATGGGGATGCTCGACATTCCCATACTAACGATCTAACTCAAAAACCCTCTCACTCTTCGTAGGTCTTGAACTCTACGAAGTATTCATTGTCTCCAATTGAGACTCTAGACTTTGCCCAACAATGGTGTGAGACTTCTATTTCGCCATCTCGAGAAGATCTCTCATGTGGCAAAGAAAACTAACCGACAAGTCTCACACAATCGAGAATTGTTGATTAGGGGGATTCACACAATGGTTCGGAGTTCAAAATACAATTTGACTAAAAATCCTGATTCAAAGACCCCAAAAGGACAAGGTTATTCCGAGTTTAATGCACTGTCACCCGAGGGGTGGAACACACGCTGGCGCTGTATATGCTGTGCGCTGGGACGCGTGTATGACGGAGACCAGCTGCAAGGTTGCAGTTTGGGCATGTGCACTAGCCTGGGGAGTCCGTGCGTTCAGTGATGGCGACTGCAACACTCGTGCGAGTCAACGGTCAGCTACGCGCTAGCCTTGCGTCTCTCAGCTCGGGCGTGCGTGCTCGGCCACCACTTCGCGTGGCTAGCCCAGCCAGGGTCGGCGCTCGGTTCGATGTACATACAAGAAATTTTAATTTTCGGGTTCATAACTTCCTAGGTAATCAGATAGGAAAAAGGCTTCTCCACAAGACTTCCAAAGCTACAAAGGTTTGGGCTTAACAGCTACACTTTCTCAAGGAGATCGAACATAGACATCACCGCCCTGAATAATTCTAACTCGGCGGTCATCTCCGTACACTGGAATAGTTAGCTTGCTTGACCCTTCTGACTAACAGTGTCGGTCGTCACGACAGCTTTTACTCAGGTAGCTAAT